TGTTACACTCAGACTCCGTGCTTGCGAGAGGGGAAGTATTGCGAGGCGCCCAGGGGGTGGTATGTAATTGTCCCAGGTCACTGGGTGGGGGCTCGAGCCGGTTTTGCATTGCGTTATTGAAACGGAACCCCTAGATACAGAACCCGGCCCTTGTTGCTGCCAACTTAGATGGGCAGAAGGGTTACACACATATCCCAACACCTAAAATATACATTCTATATATTACACCCTACAATCAACCAATGGTAAGAGTTCCAGGCCACCTTGCCTAGTGGCAACAGTACAGAAAGCATCACCCAGTGGTAAGAGCTAAAGCCGCCTTGCCTAGCACCTGTAGCTCAGGAATCAGGGGTGGGGTTGGGAAACCCTAGCCCACCCTACTCCACCGGGTTCAGACCGAGAGCCCTTTAAAACAAAATCCCCATCTGTGACTGAGAGTCTGGTGCCCTCGTGCATGCTCCCTGGGTCACTTCTGACCCTTGTTCCTGTCCCGCCGTCGTTGCTGCAGTCTGGCCTGGGGATCCCCCTGGGTTGTCCTCAGGTCTGTCTCTGGAGCCTCTTCCACTGGTGGTAGCAAGCCATCGCCCTTGGTTGGGGGTTCCCAGAGGCTTGGCTAAGAGGTCTGGTCCCGGGTGTTTGGAGTCCCAGTGCCTTCTCCGCAGGAGGCTGCTGCATGTGACCGCTCTTCTCCTCAGTCAGCCCAGACAGAGCTGAGTCACTCCCTTTTAAATGCTTCCTCCACTGGGAGCATGCCCAGCAGGGGTGAGGGGGTGTGGCCTCTTGGGTCCAAAGCAGCTCTTCAATCGTTGCCTCACCAGTGCAGGGTTGTACACCCTGTCACAATGCCATAGAAGCAAAGAAGTGACAACATGTTACTTTAAAATCTTGTACTGAATTGCAAGTCACTTTATAAACTACTAAACATTAAAATGAGTACACAATACTTTAAATTAGTAATAACTGTAGGGAATTATTATTATCATTATTTGTATTATTGTAGCATCTGGGAGCCCGAATCATGGACTAGCACCCCATTGTACTAGGCTCTGTACAAACACAGAACAAAAAGTTCCTGCCCCGAAGAGCTTACAAACTAAGTATAAGACAAGAGACAACAGAAAGGATACAGACAGAGAGACCGATTGGGGAGTGCAAGGAAACAATGAGCTAATGTTGGTCAACATAACAGGCAATGGTTTCAGCGCACCGGTAGCCTAACTGTTGTCAAGTTTTTGTAGACATAATGGCAAAAGGAGTTTTAAAGTGGGCTTTGAAAGAGGATAATGAGATAACTCTGTGGGTGTTTATTATGAGCCCCTCCCACGTGTTGGGGGGCAACACGGGGGGAAAAGCATCATTCTATCTGCTAGAAAGATACAGAATTGGATTCTCCACTGCCTTACCCCTTGTTTCATCACAGGTACCTGAGTAAATTGAGTACAGAGTGGTTTCATCCTGATTTGGTAGAGCTTTACACACACACCCTTGCATAAATGTAAATAACTGCACCAAATGCAAGATAAGAGAATGAGGCCCACATTGTTCAAATTGTAGTACTGTATTGACCTGTCTATAGTTCCGTGTTTAATTAGCTGTAAACTTTCATACTGAAACACTAGGGGAAAAACATTCATGTTGGTTGAAAAATGTATGTGTCACTTTTGTCTATCAAGCCACAGAAACTGGAAAGAACAAAACGAAATAGCATCTTCTGGTGATAATGAGGTGGGGGTCTGGGAAAGTGTTGCAGAAAGATTCAATTACTTCAAGTTTTTAGTGAAGCTAGTTTGTCACCTCCCTTGCTAAGGATCTTTGTTTTTATGTAGTCTGTTTTGTGGTGTTACAGTTTATCTGTTTGTACCAAGCCCCATGTGCTTCAGTAGTGGGGCTCATGCCACTTTACAAATAAAATAATGCAGTAAAAATGTTCTTGTATTTTTGAATATGAGCTTTCGTGATGGGAAAGTTCTAGTTTTGCTCCGAAAATACTGAAATATTTGAAAGGGCTTGAAGTTGCTCAGGTGCCATTTTAAATAAATTTCTTAGACCAATTTTTTATTTCAATATGCAGAGTTTATGGAGAGTTCAGGAGAAGCAGATTTTCTTTCCAAGGTCTTTTTCTTAACTGCACACAAATCTAGGCTGTCTGTGAGACGTAATTTACTTACTACTTATGGGAAGGGAGTTATTTTAAATATAATGGTTAACTTGCACTAAATTATAAATCATATACGTGATGCCATTTTACCACAAATTGAAAAGGTACAAGAATCAGTAGAACAAGCTGAAAGAATCCGAGTTACAGGGAACAAGTCTCTTTAGAGAATAGGATCATACATATTAAAACTGATCTACAGCGCTCTGGGACCCTATTCAATACAGCAATTCAAAATAATCTTGCTATGCATCAGAGGTTGTAAACACTGGACATTAAACTCAGGGCTTTCATCCTTCATGTATTAGGTTTAAAAGAGGGTGTAGAAAGCTGATCCTCTTTTGTTTTTCTTCCTGTTTTACTAGACAGGATTTTAAATGTGAAATTCAAACCTTTGGTAAACATTGAAAAAGCTTTTCGCCTATGAACATGTAGAAATTTATTGAAGCAAATGGGATCAAAGTGGACTCTCCTCACTTTTTTTTTTAATTGAGCATCCTCACACCGCAATCTGAAATACCCAAATGCTGTTGTTTCCTGGACTCACAATTTAGAAGAAAAACCACAGTTCATATTTCCTATTATGCTGTTGTCCTTCCTCCCCGTCATTGTTGGTCACCCTCACATTCACCATGTTTAAAATTAGATTGCAAGATCTTTGGATTACTTATTATTTGTGTTAGAATAGTGCCTGGAGGCTCTGGTCAGGATCGGGGTCCTAGTGTGCTAGGTACTCTGCAGATACGTTAGTAAGAGACAGTCTTTTTCCTGAAGAATTTACAGTCTAATTTAAGGTAGCACAACAAATGGTGTAATGAAGAATTGGAAGAAATAGGGGAAGGGAGGGTGAGGGTAACTTTGATCTAAACACATGGTTAGATTGACCAGCAGCTATACATACAGTTAAAGGATATCTTTAAAAAAATGTATAAAATATAATTAATTAAATCAAAAGGTATAATCCCTACTTGCCATCTATCCAGTCACCATGATTAAGGCTAAGATTTAGTCATGGGTATTTTTGGTAAAAGTCATGGAATAGGTCACGGGCAATAAATTAAAAATCACAGCCCGTGACCTGTCCATGACTTTTACCAAAAATACCCATGACTAAATCTCTACTTCTGGGGCTCCACTGTTCTGGGGACCGCTGCCCCAGGGACTGCTACTCCCAGGGACCACGCTCTGGATGGCCTCCGGGTGCCCCTGGGGCTACTGCTCCAGTCGCCCCGGGACTGCTGCTGCTTGGGCAGTCCCTGGGACCAGCTGCAATGGCTGCTGCTCATGCGGTCCCCGGAGGCAACTTCCCAGGGCCACCCGAGTAGCGGCTGGTGTGGCTGGCTCTGGGGTGGCCCTCGGGACCGCTGCTCTGGCATTTCCCGGGACTGCCCCCCAGGACTGCTGTTCAGGCTTCCTGGGGCTTCCCAAACAGCAGCTGGTGCGGCTGGGCCCAGGGACTGCCAGAGCAGCTCGCCCTGGGTTTCTCCAGCAGTGGCTGGTGCGGCTGGCCATGGAGTGCCCAAGCAGCTGACCCTGGGGCCAGCTGCTCAGGTGGCCCTGAAATTAGCCGCGCCAGCCGCTGCAGAAGTCGCGGAAAGTCACAGAATCCGTGACTTCCTCAACCTCCATGAAAGAATTGCAACCTTAATGATGTATGGCTCTTGTCTTTCTATGTTTCTGTAAACCACCTAGCCCACCTTCAGGCAGTGTAATAAGGTGACTATGTTTAAAAATAGCAACTTCTTTCTCAATAGTGTATTTAGACACTTCACTGTGGACTTGAGTTTAAGAATTTGATTTTTACTCCTGCTATACCTGCAGAGTCAACATACCTAAGAGTGACGGAACTGAATTCTGTTCTTCCTTTTGCTTCAGATGCAGTATTGTTTGTTAAATTCCAAAGCTAGTTGAAGACACTCATGTTATATAGGTGATTAGGGACATAATCTGAAGACAGTGGGGTTGCATGGAGGTAATTGTTGAAGGCATAACTTAATTTAGCCCTGCAGGACCATTATTACAAGTAATAAAGCAATCTGCTTTGCAGCACAACTCTCAACTTGAGGACAATATGGCCCTGCTTCTGGTTGTTAGACTAGTATTTAATATTTCTCCAAATTCTTCCACCTCTTGTTTAGAAATGGGCACCAGTAGTCCCAAAAGGGTTTCCTGAGGATTTAACGCTTCATATTACAGTGTTTGTTGCTCCATGACTAAAGGAGAATTTATCATCGCTTGTTGCTGGAATGGCTTTTTGTATGGTCCATAATGATTATTTTTTTAGTTTCCCTCCTTCCCCCTTGACGTTCGATTTTTTTTTTATCCACTCTATTGGAACTGCTTAAAATCTTTGGAGAAACATAGGACCAATTTCAATAATGGTTTACACCATCATAAGGTCTCTGGTGGTAAAACTCCTTCACAGGGGGAGTGAGTTATGGCAATGCAAAGTGGCTACAGTCCACTTTCAGATGGTTGTGTTTTTATGGGAGTGGAGGGAGGGGGATTCACTGTGACCCACAAATGTGGGTGATGCTGTCTGAAAATCAACATGCTTTGACTGTGGCAGACTCTCTGCCTCTGTGAGGAAGGATCTGCCTACAGTTTTCCAGTGGAATTGAAAATATCCTTCCTTCCAGCAGAACATTTGCAGACAAAAGCAATGGTAACACTACCAGCCCTCCACTGATCTAGATCTCCCCTACAATGGCCAGGTCTTTATTTTGTTGCATCTAGCTTGGTGCTTATATATAGTTACTTGCAACTATATTATCTGGAACATTTAGTAACACAAGTATTAATTGACAAAATGCACTGTTCTTGACATACTTTGATCTGCTATGCAAAGCTGTGGTGCTTGCTACTTTTGTCAGCTCAGGGGTTTTCCAGGAATAGCAAAAATACCCTCTGACATTAAAATAAATGAAATTTATTGATCCTGATAGAGATTTTTGTTTGAGTTGCACTTAATCACTAACTGCAATGGTTTCACATACTTTTTTGCTCCTACATATCTTTATAAGTGGTTGTTATGGTGATGCATTTTGCATACAGTGTATTTCCATTCGCCTTCCGTTGCCACTTTTATCACACCCATCATATATTTAAATGTGACCTCTGGTGACCCACTCTCCTGATTAGATTTGGAATTTGGTGATAACACATTCTCACACCTTTACTTTTTCCCCACACAAAGGTGTGGTTTTGCTTGTAATCTCTCTTACAGAGTTCACTTCCTAATTTCACCTCTCAGGTTTTTCATTTGCTGTTATAATTGCTGCTGCCTCACATATATCAATTCCATAGAATTAAAATTTTGCTCATGTAACTTTCTAGTCTCATCATGTGTAATTCTCCCTCCCCACCACTGCTATTGTGTTATAAACAATCCCTTCCCAGAAAGCACATACACATCTTCAGCCATTCAGATGGCTTAACTGACTGAACATTAGTGTCTTTCACCAAAAGAGGTGTCGTGTTGGGCAGTGTAAATGTTTAGCAATCCTGTGACAGCAGTGAACAGGCTGAGAATTCCACTCTCAGGTAGCAATGTACCATCATTTTTCCCTACCCCTTTTTGTGACTATGTTAGTTTCCACATCACTTATTGTTCAGTCAACTTAAAATGCATGAAGTGGTGTAATATCTGGTCAGCCACCCTGAACAGAACTATTGCTGGATGGCAGAATGGTGCTACAGCATTTATGCAATTTTTATTTAGTAAAAGATTGCATATTGTGAACATACATTGTGGAATTATACAGACTGCTAGAAGCATTTGGATTACATTAATTAATCCCACACTCTATTGAAATGTATTAGTTGGAGTAAAAAAATCAGATATACAAAAGCAAATCATTTCTTGTTCAGATCTCCTCGTTTTTTCAGGATAATATGAACAATATCATTATATATTATACTTTAGAATAGAATTATTACGATGGTAGCTCTGGTCGTGACTATAGCTTAGGTTGTGTTCCAATTTCCATTTAAAGCAGGAATACCCCCCTCTGCTAAATAACTGAAATATTGTTATTTTTCACTAAATTAGGGTCAATTGCTCTCCATAGACTAAATTTTCATAATTATCTTCTTGATTCATTACTTAGTTTTTTTATACATAAACTCTTTAAAAACGCACCTATTTTGAAATTTAGGCTTGGCTGTCAGGCCAAATGATCTAAAAAAATTACAAAACATATTGTTCAAATTTGGCCTAGTAACTAAAGCTTGCTTACAACACAGGCACATTTCTTCTAACAAGTCAGAATTCCTTTTCAAGTTATTTCCAATATTTGTCATAACTATTTTTTATTTTGTGATACTGAATGCCAACAATTAACATACCCTGGAAATGAAAAGATTTTGACTCAACCACACCCCTTTGGGTGAAGCTCTGGAACTGCAACAGAAGGAGAGAAACCAGTAACTACAGCGAGTGGTGTGGGTGTATTCTTAGAAGAATTACTTAATCTACATATAACTTTTCACAATATATGAACGCTATATTTACTTCAAGTGTCAACATTTTACTGTATGTATTTATTGTATGTAACTCTATCTGTTCTGAGAATACAATTTTACAAAATTTTAATATAAAGCAATTTTAATTTAATTTATGCATATTTGTAGGAAAGACTTGAATGAAAAGATGTGCTTGTGAGCCAAACCACCACATTTATTATTGTTATTCTAAAACAATTATATAGTGTTGTTAAGGTATAAGTTGCTCTACAGACCCTATCCCAAGTATATTCTGCACACCAAAGATGACAGAGAAAAAAAAATACAAACACAAATTCATTTTCACCTTCTCTCCCTGGTGTTATAGCCTGTGTTGATGGTTCCAACGCTTATTGTTGCACATGAGAATTACTCATTCTCTCTCAGTTCAGGATACTATAACCTGGTCAGACCTACAGAGCAATAAGGAGGGAGTTCTAAGCATGAGGGAAGAAGGCTCAGAGAGGCGAAGGGTAGACATCAACACAAGGGATATTAAGGAGAGCAGCAGTACACTTTGTGTATAGACAGACAGTGAAGCAAAAGGAAATGAAAGGTGAGATATATGAAAGGGTGAGGTTGTGCGGTCTTGAGGTGAGAACGTGGGCAGAGCCATGAAAAAGAATTAATCAGATAATTTATCCAGCTAATGCCACCAAATTTGCCAAATGATTCACATATTATTCAACTGACTCTAGATGGAAAGTTTGAACTTGATGCAGAAGGCAAAAAGAAATGGAAATAGAAATTAACCATCCACTATTTTGAGCTACAGCCATCAATGATATATGTTCTCTATTGGAACACGTACAATACAGTAGATCTGTGTAAGCTTTAGAATCTTCCACAAAGTGATTTTTTTACATTTTTTCCTTAGCTTGATAATGGGTAATTCTCGGTTTTAAAAAATCCCGACTACTCACCATGCATCTATAGCTGTGAAATATAACTGGCTGCTCAATCACACCACACATGCTAGCCTCATCCCATTCCAGCCAGTGTTTCTATCTTTTTTACTTGCCTGGATCACAAAATTCTGTAGGACTAATTTTATCCCAGGGACATGCTGAGAGGCCAGACTATGGCCTTCAAAACTGGGAAAAAGTATCATAGAAAAGGAAATTATTGTTACCTTGGAGACTAAAATAAATGACCTGGAGAAACAACACAACTGCTGTCTGAATAATATTCTAAGTTAAATTATCTGTAGTGTTAACTAAATGAGCTCTTGAAAAAATTGGACAATTCTGTGAAGAAAGAGAATAAACACTGGCTTTTGATTTGAACTGCCAATGCTGAATATAGTGCCCAGTGATATGTAATTATTTATGGAGACATTTTTACAGCACACGAAAGAGATAAATCAGACCTTTCCCTCCCACAATAAAGCCATTTTCAAAAGAGTGAGTTCAGTGGGAAAAGAATTAAGAGATACATTTACTGCTTGCTTTTTAGAAGTTGTATCACTCGATCAATTGAACTAGAAAGCCACATTGCAGTGTAAGCCCAAAATTCCTCAACGAAGACCTGTAGAACCACTACGTTCTATCACAGATTGTTGTTAATAAATAACATATAAACAGTACACATACCGTATACAGATCTAGGAACTTCAAACGTCTCTATATTTTATTACATAAGCCACTATTCATTGACTTTGTGTTTTATTTTTCTCTCTCCACATTCTTTACAAATCATCTTGGGCTATTGCTTCTTTTCTCTCTGTGGCATGGGATTGGAACCTTTGTCTCCCTTGTGACACAGCACAGTTACCACCAGTCTGCTAGGCTGGCACTGTCAACACTGGTAAGTATTTCACCTAATCAAAGAATCGATGTTATTTTGCTGGTACTGTGTTTAAGGCATATAAAATAAATAGATACACATAATTTATAATGCTTTTTGATTTGTCTCCATAAATTATCATTTTTAAAAAATACAGACAAAGCCATATGTTTTCCTCCCACCTAAACATTGTAGTGTGGAAGATGGTCTCTAAAAATGAACAAACCTAACAGCACGCAAGCTTGTCTCGAAGCATAATAATCTTTTGCTTAAAGAAACGGTTTCCGCTTATAACAAATGACAGCAAATCAAGACAGCTGATGGCAGTTATACTCAAACAGATATTATTGTACATTACTAATTGTTCTTCTTTCATGTGCCGTATGTAATAGAGCCTAAAGAGGTGATATGGGAGGAAACAAATGATTATCACAGATATGAACATCAAGCTTTTAATCTGGGCCCAGAATTCTTGATGTGACCAGACAGAGCCTGGAAACTTTTTCACCACCTTTAGAATGATGAAGACTTGCAAGCCCAAGAGGACACATGTGATGGTGGCTACAATGGCAATTAAGAGATAGTTCAGTGTTTTCACACTCTTCTTCCCTGAGTTCTTGTTGGAATGTAAAACATATGTTAGTTTTATACTCCCCAAACGTCCCATACTGAGCAATGACCAAGGGCAGCACAATCACAATGACCACTATCCACACTGTAGCACTAGCAGCCACAGCATGTAGCTTCCTGTAGAACTCCAACTTGTCCTTCCATTGAAAGAAAATGAGCCACCGGATAATGAGCGTGATTATGTAGAATAGAAAAGTGAGGTACATATGGATGTGCATCATAGCACTCACTGCTTTACAAAAGCCCTCCCCAAAAATCCACTTCTGATTGATATAATAATAAAGCCGAAACGGCACAGTCAGGAGAAGCAGGCTGTGCAACACCACGAGGTTGACAATCGCCGCCGTGGTCACTGACAGAGTGTTCATTTTAACCAGCAAAAATGACATTGCGATGGCTCCAATTGTACCTCCAATAAATGCTACTGTATATATAGTAATCAATATGTAACGTTCAATGTCAGAATTAAAGTTACTGGACTGAGTTGTAGTAACAGATGCATTCAGAGAGGTTGTAGTCGCTCCAGGCATGGTACTGTACATCTCTCTTTTGGACTCTATAAAAGAAGACATCAATGTCATTAAAGATTAAAGTGAGATTTAAAACTGAGAGCTAACTGAGTCTTCAACCTGGTTCTGGCTCCAGGGCATATACTGTATATGATCCTAGAAATGCTTGGATTGTTTCATTTCTGATATCAGTTACTGCAAATGATTTCCCCCACTGCTGAAATGTGCTCGGTTAGGAAATGCAGGTCAGAGTTCCTACTAGTTAGGAAAGAATGGCTGCAAAAGCTGAATTTAAAGACGGAAAAAAACCAAGCATATACGTACGTTAGAGGAAGAAGCTGATCAAGTTATGAAAATGTTACCAGCCATGTACTTAAAAACAGTTACTAATTAATATTTCAAAACAAAGGTAGGCAAAAAAGATCTGCTGCTTGGCCAAATTATTTGAGTATGATCCTTATGGGGAATGATGGCCGAGGAAGGAGTACTGCAAAAAGGGATCGGGGGGTCATAGTGGACCACAAGCTAAATATGAGTCAACAGTGTAACACTGTTGCAAAAAAGCGAGTATCATTCTGGGATGTATTTGCAGGAGTGCTGTAAGCAAGACACGAGAAGTAATTCTTTCGTTCTACTCTGCGCTGATTAGGCCTCAACTGGAGTATTGTGACCAGTTCTGGTGCCACATTTCAGGAAAAAAGGTGGACAAATTGGAGAAAGTCCAGAGAAGAGCAATAAAAATGATTAAAGGTCTAGAAAACATGACCTATGAGAGAAGATTGAAAAAACTGGGTTTGTTTAGTCTAGAAAAGAGAAGACTGAGAGGGGACATGATAACAGTTTTCACATACATAAAAGATTGTTACAAGGAGGAGGGAGAAAAATTGTTCTTCTTAACCTCTGAGGATAGGACAATAAGCAATGGACTTAAATTGCAGCAAGGGAGGTTTAAATTGGACATTCAGAAAAACTTCTTAACTGTCAGGGTGGTTAAGCACTGGAATAAATTGCCTAGGGAGGTTGTGGAATCTCCATCACTGGAAATTTTTAAAAGCAGGTTAGACAAATCCCTGGCAGGGATTGTCTAGATAATACTTAATCCTGCCATGAGTGCAGAGGACTGGACTAGATGACCTCTCAAGGTCCCTTCCAGTCCTTTGATTCTGTGATTCTTATCAGCCCTTTGTGTTAACAGCTCAGATCATTATTACAGAGGATCTACTGGGTGATCATAAAGAAGACACAAGTCATTGTTAGAATCCTGCTATTTATTCATTAGAATTAAGTGTGCTGGGAGAGAAGCTGAGCCCTGATTAGGGGGCGGGGCTTCTCTGACTAGGGGTCCTAAAAAGGTAGCTAGCCAGGCAGGCAGCTGCAGCGGCACAGGACCCAGCAAACAGAGCTGTAAACAGGGGATTTTGAGTGGGAGTTTGCAAGGGGAGTTTGGGGGGAAGACTAAGAGGCAGGCAGAGGAACAGACAGGCTAGTGAAGGGAGTGTGTGGTGGTCTGGCAGCGTTTTGGTGCTTGTTGGGGGTTTGTTTTGCGGTTGGTGGTGGTGTTTTGGTTTGATTTGTGTTTCCCGGACTAACAGGACTTAGGTGGGAAGGCTATGACAGACACAGAGGCAGCAGTGGTAGTGACCCAAGCAGTGGAAGACACAATGAAGATGACTGGATGTGGAAACTGCAGTATGTACATGATCCTGGAGGGGGTACCTGAAAAGAGTTTCGTCTGCATGAAGTGCCACCTGATAGAGCTGATGGAAGAAAAGATCTGAGGATTGGAGATGCAGGTGGAAACTCTGATTGAGTTTAGAAGGAGGTTCAAGCAGATGATGGAGCAAAGACATGACAAGTCTGAAGGGAAAAGCTCAGACTTGCAAATGGAAGCAGGACCAAATAACTCTGAGGGGAGACTGCTGGGTGAGGACAGTGGAAGCATATGGCTAAGAGAACCAGGCAGAGGAAAAGACGGGCTAGTGAAGGAGAAATAGGACTCAGGAACAGGTTTGCGCAGTTGGAAAATTAAGAAGGGGCACAGCAGGTGGTCGCTGACAGTGAGAGGGCAAGGAAGAAGAGAAGAGCAGCTAGTCCTATAGGAAGAAGGGAAAAGTCAATGGAGATAACAGCATCAAATATGAGCCTCAGGAGGATACATGATGGGTTATAGAGGATTGCAAGGGAGAACAGGAATCGAGAGGACTTGCAGCCAGAGGGAACAGGGGATAGACTGGAGACTCGCACCATCACCAGGAAAAGGCAGGTCTACGTGATTGGGGACTTCTTACTGAGAAGAATAGACAGGCCTGTAAACAGAGCTGACCTAGAGAACAGAAGGGTGTGCTGTCTGCCGGGTGCTAAGATATGGGACCCGGACCTGAGGCTGAAGAGGATCCTAATGGGAGAGGGAAAGAATCCGCTGATTGTCCTTCATGTGGGAACAAATGATATGGCTAGATTCTCACTGGAATGTTTCAAGGGATACTATGCCAGACTGGGGAAGACACTTAAGGAAATCGAGGCTCAGGTGATCTTCAGTGGGATTCTGCCTGTTCCTAGAGAAGGGCAACAAAGGTGTGACAAGATTATGATGATCAACAGATGGCTCAGGCAGTGGTGCTATAAGGAGGGCTTTGGGATGTATGGCCACTGGGAGGCATTCATGGACAGAGGACTGTTCTCTCGGGATGGAATTCACCTGAGTAGGGAGGGAAATAGACTTCTAGGATGGAGGCTGGCATAACTGATTAAGAGAGCTTTAAACTAGGAACTGGGGGGAGATGTCCAGGTAATCTCCACCCCAGATTTTAACATTGAGAGGGAAGAAAACGAAGTAAGAAAGGATACAGCCGTGGGTAGGAGAATGGACATAAGGAGGAAGGGTAGTGTAGATACCAGTCTAATAGGTAATACTGGAGGTAGAATGTCTGGGCCTAATTGGGTAAAGTTTGTGAGCAAAGCCAAACATCAAAAATTAATATGTTTGTACACTAATGCGAGGAGTCTAGGTAACAAAATGGAGGAACTAGAGTTACTGGTGCAGGAAGTGAAACCAGATATTATAGGGATGACAGAAACATTGTGGAATAGTAGTCATGACTGGAGTACAGGTATTGAGGGGAATGTGCTGCTTAGGAAAGACCGAAATAAAGGCAAAGGTGGTGGAGTAGCATTGTATATCAATGATGAGGTAGACTGTAAAGAAATAAGAAGGGATGGAATGGATAACACAGAGTCTGTCTGGGCAAAAATCACGTTGGGGAAGAAAGCTACTAGAGCCTCCCCTGGGATAGTGCTTGGGGTGTGCTATAGACCACCAGGATCTGATTTGGATATGGATAGAGACCTCTTTAATGTTTTTAATGAAGTAAATAGTAATGGGAATTGTGTGATCATGGGAGACTTTAACTTCCCAGATATAGACTGGAGGAAAAGTGCTAGTAATAATAACAGGGCTCAGATTTTCCTGGATGTGATAGCTGATGGATTCCTTCACCAACTAGTTGCTGAACCAACAAGAGGAGATGCCATTTTAGATTTGGTTTTGGTGAATAGTGAGGACCTCGTAGAAGAAATGGTTGTAGGGGACAATGGTTCGAGCGATCATGAGCTAATTCAGTTTAAACTAAATGGAAGGATAACTGTGACTAGGGTTTTTGATTTCAAAAGGACTAACTTTAAAAAATTAAGTAAATTAGTTAGGGACGTGGATTGGACTGAAGAACTTGTGGATCTAAAGGTGGAGGAGGCCTGGAATTACTTCAAGTCAAAGTTGCAGAACCTATCAGAAGTCTGCATCCCAAGAAAGGGGAAACAATTCATAGGTAGGAATTGTAGACCAAGCTGGATGAGCAAGCACCTCAGAGAGGTGATTAAGAAAAAGCAGAAAGCCTACAAGGAGTGGAAGATGGGAGTGATCAGCAAGGAAAGCTACCTTATTGAGGTCAGAACATGTAGGGATAAAGTGAGAAAGGCCAAAAGCCATGTAGAGTTGGACCTTGCAAAGGGAATTAAAATCAATAGTAAAAGGTTCTATAGCCATATAAAGAAGAAGAAAACAAAGAAAGAAGTGGGACTGCTAAACACTGAGGATGGAGTGGAGGTTAAGGATAATCTAGGCATGGCCCAATATCTAAACAAATACTTTGCCTCAGTCTTTAATGAGGCTAATGAGGAGCTTAGGGATAATGGTAGGATGACAAATGGGAATGAGGATATGGAGGTAGATATTACCACATCCAAGGTAGAAGCCAAACTCGAACAGCTTAATGGGACTAAATAGGGGAGGGCCCAGATAATCTTCATCCAAGAATATTAAAGGAACTGGCACATGAAATTGAAAGCCCATTAACAAGAATTTTTAATGAATCTGTAAACTCAGGGATTGTACCATATGACTAGAGAATTGCTAATAGAGTTCCTATTTTTAAGAAAGGAAAAAAAAGTGATCCGGGTAACTACAGGCCTGTTAGTTTGACATCTGTAGTATGCAAGGTCTTGGAAAAATTTTTGAAGGAGTAAGTAGTTAAGGACATTGAGGTCAATGGTAATTGGGACAAAATACAACATGGTTTTACAAAAGGTAGATCGTGCCAAACCAACCTGATCTCCTTCTTTGAGAAGGTAACAGATTTTTTTAGACAAAGGAAACACAGTGGATCTAATTTACCTCAATTTCAGTAAGTCATTTGATACGGTTCCACATGTGGAATTATTAGCTAAATTGGAAAAGATGGGGATCAATATGAAAATTGAAAGGTGGATAAGGAACTGGTTAAAGGGGAGACTACAATGGATCATACTGAAAGGTGAACTGTCAGGCTGGAAGGAGGTTACTAGTGGAGTTCCTCAGGGATCAGTTTTGAGACCAATCTTATTTAATCTTTTTATTACTGACTTTGGCACAAAAAGTGGGAATGTGCTAATAAAGTTTGCGGATGACACAAAGCTGGGAGTTATTGCCAATACAGAGAAGGACCAGGATATCATGCAGGAAGATCTGGATGACGTTGTAAACTGGAGTAATAGTAATAGGATGAAATTTAAT